AGTCACGGCAGCAATTTCTCGCACTTGATCTGTCAAATTCTTGGCCATAATGTTGACGTTCTCCGTAAGCTCTTTCCAGATACCATGGACGCCAGTGATCTGGGCTTGTCCACCGAGTATTCCTTCAGTACCGACTTCGCGTGCGACACGAGAGACTTCGCTACCGAAGACTTGCAGTTGATCCATCATAGTGTTAATTGTTCGTTTGAAAGTAGCGATTTCAGGGTCCATCTCCAGCGGGTGAATTTGGACCTTCATGGACAGGTCACCGTTGGCAACTTGGGTGATGATACCACCAATTTCACGCAAAGCTTTCTGGAAAGCCTCGTTGGCCTGCTGATGCTTGCGCAACTCGCGTTCGAGAAGAACCACATCCTCATTTTCGACCTTGGTAAGAGCACGGCGAGTATGCTCTTCCTGTTTTTGCAATTCGTCGCGAACCTGGGCAATGATATCCTTTTGGCTGCTTATCTCCTCAGCCTGTTTTTGCACATGATTGCGGAGGAAGCTAATATCCTCCTCCCGCACAACGCGGGTGCCGTTATCATCTTCTTCATCGGATTCGTCGTCAATTTCTCCCAGGGGTGGTTCGTCGGGCGCGGGAACCGGTATGGCTTTTTGCTGCTGTGACAGAGAGTCAGAATCTTGACCGGACGACAAGCGAGAGAGCCCAAATGTCCTCAAGAAATTCCTCTCGCTGGTTTCTTCAGCAGACGGGATGGTCTGGTGGGGGTCCGCCTGCTGTTGGAAATTGTGGTGACTGACAGCTTGGAATTCCAGATGGTGCACGCGGCGCACTAAGGCCTCAAGCTCGGCTTCGAAGGCTGCCTTGGTGGGACTGTATTCTCCGGGAAGTTTGGCCGACTTGCTACCGTTGGATAGTTGAAAATCAAATGGGGGTGAAGAGGAACCGGGGGCAGATTCGTCTCTTGCCAAGTTCTGCAGCAAGGCAGTCGCGGCCGCAAGAGTCTCATCCACGCTAGCCATCGTGGCCTACACAAGTTAGTACATAGAACAGATCGTACCAGCACCCTGAGGATTATGATATGGTAGTCGGGAATTCGAAGGTAGTATCACTCACTGGCAAGTCTGGATCCTGACAGGATAACCGAAATATAGTCTAATTAAGGCGACATAGGGAAATTCCAAACAAAAGACAAGAACAAATACCCGAATCAACCGGGGATAAATATGAAAGGAAATATGGAGAGTCGGGAAGGGGGAAAATAGGTGGATAAGCCCTGGAGAACGCGCCCGGTTATGTAAGCCACTATCGGGACCTCTTGACTCTGCGGGGATCAAAAAGAGAGAAGTCAGAAACCCGGAACAGACAATAAAAGGTTAAAATGATGAGAGATGAGATTCGAGGATGAGAGAAGGGGACTTGGAAGGGGGAGGGGAAAGAGATTTTGAAAGGGGCGGTGATATGCCGCCTCTTTTTTCCTTTTTTAATATTTTTTTATGTCTTACTCTTTAGGTAGAATTTATAAATCGCTGCTGAACAGGAAAAAATATGAGAAAATAAAATAAGTAAAAATAGGTCAAAAATAGGTAAAAAAAAAAAATATGGATATCTTTTTCTGCACATTTTACAGATTTCATATGCCCAGGTGACTGCATAAGGCGCACGGACTAGTTTGGGAACATATGTCTGGGTACCTTATACTATTATCCTCCATGAATCTATAACAAGTATCAAGGTTATAAGTACAACATACCAAGTACGGAATACAGAATGTACACATATCCTCTTTGTTTCATATTGAAGTGATCGACTCTGGGGCTAGTGTCGATCCCAAGGTGGCTCCGGTTCGTTTTGCTTCTCAATAGTCTAAATTCATATCCTTTCAATTTCCCCCTTACTATTATCAAAGGGAAAGATAGGCGAGACAGAGTTTATAAACAATTGGTTGAGACCCAGTGGGATCCAGTAGAAGTTAGTGTGAGCCTATAAGAAATTAATATCGTCTCTTCGTTTAGGGTCTGCCACTTGCCACAGATCCATAGTTTGATTTTCATCGCAATTTGCGCCTTTTTTGGTGGCTGACCCGTCGAGATTAGCGTCTCCGGGGTCTTCCTATACCGTCCATTGGTCACACAAGAACCTCGTGAACTTCGGCTTTCGTACCTGAATCACTATTAACACGATGGAATATGTTTCGGGATATATTTCAAAAAAAAATAAAAGTAAAAATTGAAACAATGTATCTATAATGAATGGAATTTTGTATAGAATTTAAGCTTACGAGGAGAACTATGCCTATCATAATATATACAAGGTTGTAGGTTTAATATGATAGTCACGCATTTCCCGAGGTCCTAATTTTTCAAAAATCCAGGGATGCGCAGTTGGCCAAGGTCAACAAGTCAACTGGTCAACTGTCAGCAAATGGCGGGGGTGAAATGGCAGAAATGGTCGGTGTGCCCTACCGTATTTTCTTTTGGGAATCCCGCAGAGTCATAATTCTGCGAAATATTGCCCGATCAAAAGAACGCCCTTCAAAACACCCGTCAAAAATTGACTCTGCAGGAGAAGGCTGCAGCCATGGCGTCCGACTTGACACAACAGATTTTGGACGCCCTGTCCGCGTCCGATGCGCCCATCTTCTCCAGCGAAGCCTTCCCCTCCCACCCCTCATTGAACGTTAAGAGTGCGCTCGACCGCCTTCAATCGCGACAGATGGTCGAATATGAGACCTTGGAAAAAGAAATTGTGACTCTCACTGCTGAGGGCCAGGAAATTGCCGCCAATGGCAGTCACGAGGCCAAGGTCTTCGCCGTGGTACTTGCTGCCATGGACGGATTGAAGATCTCAGACTTGCCAGGAATTGTGGGCAAGGAGAATGCCAAAGTTGGCCAAGGAAACGCCTTCAAGCGTGGTTGGATTAAGAAGGACAAGGATTTGCTGCGGGCATCGGCAGACTCAATTGTCGACGAGACACAACAGCAGTTGCTGGAGGTTCAAAAAACAAAGTCTCTGGCCGATAAAAAGGTCATGCTTGACCTGAAGCGGAGAAAGTTGGTTGGTCTAGCAAAGGAGCTTGCTTTCAAGATCAACAAGGGCCCCAAGTATGCCCGGGAATTCGTCAAGGAGCAGACCGACCTCACTCCGGAGATGATTGCCAATGGCTCATGGAAGACCGCCCATCTCAAGCCCTACAATTTCAATGCTAAGGGTGCCCCTACTCCATCTGGTGCGCTTCACCCGCTGAACAAGGTCCGCCAAGAGTTCCGCAACATCTTCTTCGATATGGGCTTCGAGGAAATGCCGACCAACCGCTTCGTTGAGACCGGATTCTGGAACTTCGACGCTCTGTTCGTTCCCCAGCAACATCCCGCCCGTGATCTCCAGGATACCTTCTATATCTCCGACCCTGCTGTGGCAGACCCTCCTCGTGAGGATCCCCCTAACGACCCCCACGTCCCAGTCAAAACCAAGTCCGACAAGCCGCTTGACTACCAAAAGTACTGGGATAACGTCCGCGAGGTTCACGAGCACGGAAAGTTCGGCTCCATTGGCTACCGCTACCCCTGGAGCGCGGATGAGTCGCTCCGTCTGGTGCTCCGCACCCACACCACCTCCATCTCGACCTACATGCTGCACAAGCTGGCCGCCAACCCCCGGCCGGCTCGCTTCTTCAGTATCGACCGTGTCTTCCGAAATGAGTCCGTCGACGCTACCCATCTGGCGGAATTCCACCAGGTCGAGGGTGTCATTGCTGACTTCGGTCTGACCCTTGGTGGTCTGATTGGATTCATGGAGGTCTTCTTCGCTAAGATGGGCATCCACAAGCTGCGCTTCAAGCCCGCCTACAACCCTTACACTGAGCCCAGTATGGAGATCTTCGGTTACCACGATGGTCTAGGCAAGTGGGTTGAGATCGGTAACAGTGGCATGTTCCGCCCAGAGATGCTCGAGTCCATGGGTCTGCCTAAGGACTTGCGAGTCTACGGATGGGGATTGAGTCTGGAGAGACCCACTATGATCAAGTACGTTGCATCTGCTATCATTCATTTCTATTTACTAATCTCTATTAGGTACGCCGTCAGCAACATCCGTGAACTTCTCGGTCACAAGGTCGACTTGAACTTCATTGAGACCAACCCTGCCGTCCGTCTCGAGAAGGATTAAACAGAGAAATATTCATAGAAACAAAAGAACATGCTTTTAGTTGTGTCTTGCTTGTCGGGTTTCCCGCTTGTAATCACGAGTTTATGTGGAAGGAATCGTATTACATATCAATGATGGATAGGATGTGAATAAAATACTTGATAAAAAGGTTCCAGTGTGTATATGTGGTCAGTGTAGATATAAGAAAGCAGACTATAAAACATGACATTCATCTAGCATATTTCTACAATGGATGTCCTGCCCGTATCTGTGCCCCAGCGCATGGATCTCTGCAACAGTGGCTCTTCAGCAGGCGGAGGCTCGGAAGCATTGATCTTCGGCATTGAAAAGTATTTCTACCTCCTCACCCATGGGATTGGAGACAATGAAGACCAAGACCAGCGAACCAGACTGGTTTTCAAGTCTACAACGAATGAGGAGGTTTCTATATGCCGAGAAATAAAAGAAAAAAAGGAAGCAGTGACTAAGAAATATATGAAAAGGGATATCGTTTCGATTTTTTGGCATTGCTTTTTTGGCTTGTGCTTCATGAGGTTGGGCGGGAGTCTATAACAAAAAGAGGGCGGGATTCGTAGAGAAAAAAAACCTGACCCATAAGTCGTCGATATTCCATTCATTTCGAGAGATAGGTAGGAAAACAGGAGTTTCTCAGAGGAGAAAAAGAAAAAATGAACTAAGGAACATAACTATATCCCTTGCGTCCTTTTTTGGTCTTAAAACCAACTCCCCGAACACGGACCATCAAGCCACGGTTCCTATGTATCAAATTAGCCTTGAAGATGGATATGCAAAATATGGATGACCACGTACCATCAAATCAACCCGTCAACACCGCCCGGTAGAAAGAAACCACATTGCTGCGGATGATTTAGCGCTGGCTGGAGGCGGTCCAGACGTTCTTGAGGTAACCGTCACGCTGGGCAAGGCGGTTGAAGGAGTCATCGCTCTCGCCGCGGGCACGGATGAAGCCGCAAAGAGCGTAGGTCTGGTTCTCGCCGGTGTAGCGACCGTTCTCGTCAACCTTGCCAACGGAGAGCTGGACAGAGGCGTGGTCGTTGGCCTTGATGATGCGGTTGGTGGCGCTGCACTTGCGAGGCACGTAGCTGTTGAGAGGGAGGTAATGTTAGTTGTCTGGGTTCTTATTTGGGATTTTCGAACGAATATGTTCCCCTCCAACACCCTATTGTGCCCTGGTCTTTCCGGTGGCTCGCCAACAATCGCAACCACGTAGCGCAGAGAATTTCTTTCACTCCTCTTAATCTCCGATCACATCGGGTCCATCTTTTGGGCTTGGGATCGAGGCGGGATTGTATGCGGCCACGCAGACATAGGGCACAGGGTATATTGGGATTGCAGGAACGGGTGTAAAATCCATGGCACGTACAGATCGACGATCTCTCCCTTTTCGTTCTCCATTTTGGCGGGTTTGGTGTTGAGGTTTTGACGGGCGACGGTGAGGTTGGAGGTGGAGGGTTTTTCTGCCGCACATTAAATTGAAGACCTCAAATGATTTGTGTGGGTCATGTGACCCTTTATCGAGGGCTGGCGTGGCCAAAGTGGGGCACGCGTGGCTTTAGCGGGAACTGTACTCGGAGGCCGTGGCAATTTCAACTTTAGTTCATCCGTGGAAGAGATGCTCGTACGTGAATGTATGTAGTACTACATGCTACCTACATATTTACATACATGGGTAGTAGAATGGTAAAGATATGTATTTTACAGATTACTCTTTTGCCTCTCTTCCTGTAACACATCCTTCTTCCATCCCACAGCCACCTCTCGTGCACTTCCTTTCTTAAACCGCAGAGTAACCACTCTGTCGGGCTCTCCTCGCCTGGAAGACCCTTTCAGCTCAGGCCCAGGATCATTGAGACCTAACACAGATCGCCCATCACCGGTCATGTGAATCATTTTCGGGGATATGCATTTATCTGTCCATGGGGGAGAGCCCGAATGAACAAAGTCGACAAGCGCTTGACGACGGTTCTCCATCTCTTCAACAGAAGCACCTGCACGAGGTTCCTTGTCCAGGAATCCTGACACCAAATGCAAAAGGAGGAACTGTGGCGGGAATAGAATGATCTCAGCCTTCTGAGCACGACTAACCCACGCCGAGGCTGGAAGAAACTGGGCCTCCGTAACCTCAATGCCACCATCGCTCGTTGGGATCTCATGTTCCTCGCGTTCGCCCTCTGCTGGGAGTTGATCTAGAAGCCTCTTATCCACCTTGACCGGCAAAGGCAAGAAATACAGATACATCTGAGTAGTGTATCGCTTGGGGACATTGGTTGGCGTAACCCAGCGAGTAAAGGGAATTAATTGGCCTGTAGAGTCAGCATTCTGCTTTCAGGTCCTTAGTATGCAAATTAGGCACTTACCTATATCAGGCTCAGCGTCAGCGCTTTGTTGCTTCAGCCACTCATCAAAGGTGGTCTTGTTCTGATGAATGAGTCGTCTGCCTTCCTCTCGGATAGGCTCGTCGACAGCTAGCATCTTCCCAGAGTTGCGGTCTCTAGCTAGAAGAATTCCACTCTCTTCAAAGAGTTCTCTGATCGCTGCACGCCGGTAACTAGGGGAATCATCATGCCGCGCTAGGTCTCCGGGCGGCGGGCATTTACCATCCTGGCTGGATAAGTTGCCGCCCGGAAAGACATGGGCAGATGCAAAGGAGGTAGAGGTCTTCACGCGATGAAGAAGAAGGATCTCATTCTTTGAAGATACAAGGAGCACGCTATAGAAGAGTTAGTTTTGCTTCTCTTTTTTCCGGAATACCTCCCTTTAGATGACATCGATCTGCAGACGTCCATCATTTGTTCCCTTGCTGCTGGCTTACCTAGAACTAGGCCTGGGGACCGAAGGCTCACTATCACGTTTTGAGCTAGTCATCTGAGAAATTGGGGAAATTGTAGTTGTGTATTGTCTTAAAGCAGGTTTACCGCTTGATCGTTGAAAGAACTGAACCGAGGTAATGTGAGATGCACGAGATGTGCGAAGGGCAACAGCAAATCGACTCAATCGATGTGTTAAGTGACAAGAAATGTATCCTTGATAGATAAAGGACATGGTAAGATTTCGAAGCCGAAAAACGGCCTGTCAATGTTTATAGTGAAGGGCAAAGACCCGAGAGCCTAGGCAGTTGCTCGGGCAGTTCATCGTTACCCCGCGTGTAGCTTAACTTGATCGAGCTTAGCCGAATGCGGCGCCATGTGCTCGGGAAACCTCCAGGGCTTCTACAAAACTTCCAAGGTTCTACGTGACGATTACAGTTGCAATATAGAGAAATCAAACATGTTTGCTCATTAGAAATGGCGTAAATTCTTCAAATCGTAAACTCCTATCCTATACCCTTATTTTAATTTCCAGGTCCCATCATCCATCGGGGTGTACCCCGATGATGTATTCACAAAAGAGTCCAATCAACTCTTACAAAGCTTGGATCTTACGAGTAAAGCTTCTTGTCGTAGCTGTGGAGACCGTGGACGTTACCCTCGGTCATGGCGCTGGCACTGCGCATTTCAAAGCGGACAGTGCCGTCGTTGACACCGTCGTGCAAAGCGGTCAGACTCTGGACACCAATGTCCTGCAGGGAGTGCTGGACACCGGCAACAAGGTAAGGAATGAACTTGGTGACAGAACCGCGGTCGAGGACGGATCCAGCGACACCCTGGGCAACAAGGACGCGGTCCTTCTCGGAGAAGTAGCGAGCGGTACCAGCGTTGCTGGCCTTGCTATCCTTACCGCCACCGCCGGCCTTCTTGTCCTCCATGGCGGCGATACTTCCCATACCACGGTAGGCCTTGACGAGCTGGCCCTCGTTGCTGACGTAGTACTCACCGGGAGACTCGGTGGTACCGGCAAGGAGACCACCCATCATGACGGTGCTAGCACCCATAGCCAGACCCTTGACGATGTGGCCAACGTTCTGGACACCACCATCGGCGATACAGGGGACACCGAAGCGAGCGGCAAAGGATGCAACGCTGCGCACGGAAGCGGCCTGGGGACGACCGACAGCCATAACCTCCTGGGTGATACAGGCACTACCGCTGCCCATGCCAATTCTCAGGCCATCGACACCGGCGGCAATCAAAGCAGCAGCCTGCTCACGGGTGACGACGTTACCACCGATAACGTCGATCTCGGGCATGTTCTTCTTGATGTACTTGATCATCTCGATCTGGTACATAGAGTTACCCTGGCTGGAATCCAGAATAACAATATCCAATCCAGCCTCGACGAGAAGCTGGAGACGCTTCTTGTCCTCCTCACGAGTACCAATAGCAGCGGCACAAATCAGCTGCTTGGAGTCGGGGAGCTTGGAGGCCAGAGGGTAGTGGAGGTTCTTCATCAGATCGGAGCGGGAAAGCAGGGAGACGATGTTGCCACTGGCATCAACGATGGGGAGCTTTCCCTTCTTGGACTGACGGAGAACCTCGTTGGCCTCGGCCAGGGTGGTACCGGCCGGGGCAGTGACAAGATCCGTGGCCATGATGGCAGTCACGGGCTCGTCATCGTTGGTGTGGAACTGAATGTCACGCGAGGTAACCATTCCAACGAGCTTGGACTTGAGGGTTCCATTCTCTATATTCAAACATTAGCATTTGCTGCTGAAAGCTGATGTGAAGAATATCCAAAATAGACAAATTGCTCAGATAAAATCTGGTTCTCTACAGTGCGACTTTCGTCGCTGCAGTGGAACGAAAGTTATAATTAAAAGAGGGTGGTCATCATGCAAAGTGGGTGGGTAGGTGCTGGGAGAAGTAGATGTGGGTATCTTACCAGTGACAGGGAAACCACCGAAGCCCCACTTGGCCTTCAGCTCCTTGGCTTCACCAACGGTGGCCTTGGGAGAGATGACAACGGGATCCAAAATGAAACCGTTCTCGTATCTCTTAACCTTGCGAACCATCTCTGCCTGGTCCTCGGGGGAGCAGTTGTGGTGGATAACACCCAGACCACCGAGCAGAGCCATGTGAATAGCCATGTTGTGCTCAGTGACAGTGTCCATGGGTGAGGACAGAAGAGGAGCCTTCAGGGAGATACGCTTGGTAACAGGGGTATCCAAAGAGACATCGGAAGCGGGGAAGCCTATTCGGGTTAGAATGAAGATTTTTTTTCGGACTGTAGAGTTCGGCTTACCGATGTAACCAGGCAGGATCAAGAAATCATTGTAGGTCAATGCACCGTGCTTGTCAGAGTCAAGCAGGGTATCGGCATCAAGACCATCACGGGTGGTATAGGTATCCAAAACCTCCATGGCCTTGGCGTAGTCGGCGATCTCAGCCTTCATGGCGGCACCAGGTGCTGCGTCACCGGCAGTGATAGGCATGACTAAAAGAAGGGGAGTTTAAAACAACGAGTGAGACACGACCCGAGGGAAGATTCTTAATCAACAGAAAGAAACGTTCTGCTGATGGAGAAAGTCGAGCTTTCCCAAGGAAGAGAAAGAAGAAGAAAAAGGTCGGGCGAAAAATTGTTTCCTTTTCTGTTCCGCGCACGGCCAAGACAGGATGGAGCTTGTCTATTTCTGGTATAGCGTACTAGTTTTTTCACCGGTGGCACTTCTGATTGGCTCGTAAACGAGATCTCTCAAGGCGGTGACCTTGGAGCTTGTTTATGCTTAGCCTCGTACATTAATGTACATCGGTAATATGTAGATGGTGCTAAGATCTGCATGTACTTTAAGTGTGTGTATTATATGTACTCCTGTGAAAGACATTACCCAATGGGTTGGACATAAGTATCGAATGCTGTACAGCACAGCGTTCGAAGTTGGTAATCAAAGTCTAGTGTCAGTTGGCTATAATTTCCTCGATGCCATTCTTGGTTCCAACATGTGTACAAAGCCATCGCATGAACCAAAGATTCATGTTTTATTGACATGGTTGGCCGTGCAACGGGATATCAATCTCACCAGATACCGGGGTCAAGTCCCGTACGTCTGTAGCAATATGACGACAGAATGATAGTAACCAATGTGGTATAAAGAGCCTCTTGGAGGTTATAAGGCCTTATCCAACACTAAACATCGCTTTAACTATCGATATGGAATCTAGCATGGGTGAACATGGCGCCTTCAAGCCTGCACCGGGTGCGCAGGCTCAGGCTAAGCCTGGGTGAGTTATGTTTTACCCGAGCGGGATATTTCCACTAATGTGGCTTGCTAGATTGGAGAGCGTAATGACAGAGCCTAGTGAATCGACAAAACTGGAGGGTTCTCATGGCTTTTCTGAATATGCGGGTTCCGGAAAGCTGAAGGGCAAAAATGCTCTAATCACTGGCGGAGAGTATGTGGAGCAAGTTCACAGGAATGATCTTGGGCTAATACTTTCTTAGTTCTGGCATTGGACGATCAGTTGCTATTCTGATGGCCAGAGAGGGTGCGGATATTAGTATCGTTTATTTGCCCTCGGAACAGCCAGACGCACAGACAACCAAAAAATCTGTAGAGCAAGAGAACCAGTCATGCCTTCTTATACAAGCCGATTTGAGAGATCGCAACTCTTGTCGTCGTGCGGTGGATGAACATGTGAAAAAGTCAGCCTATGGTATCGTTCCTGTATTAGGAAATGACTGACCCCGTCTACAGATACGGCTCAATCAATGTACTTGTCAATAATGCGTCGAAGCAATACCTATGTGCGCAATTTGAGGACACTGATCTGGACAAGACTGAGGACATCTTCAAGACCAACATCATCCAGATGATTTCGATGGCGAAGTTTGCTCTTCCTCATATGACACGAGGTGATTCGTAGGTGCTTTCTTGTCTAACCTATACCTATGATCATATACTCACGCATTTGCTACAGGATCATCAACACGTCTTCGGTTGTGGCTTTTCGTGGCTCTGGGAGCATGATTGATTATGCTTCAACAAAGGGAGCTATCGTTAGCTTTACTAGGGCTTTAGCAACATACTTGATTCCCAAGGGTATTCGGGTCAATGCAGTCGCGTGAGTACATTCATTCATCTCTTCTTGGAAGTACAAACTGACACACTTCCAATTGTAGTCCAGGTGCAATCTATACACCAATTCAAGTCGACACCCGAGATCCCCAGCAGATGGAAGGATGGGGTCAGAAAGCTCGTCTTGGCCGACCAGGTGAGCCCAGTGAGGTTGCGACAAGCTTCGTCTTCTTGGCTAGTGCGGATGCTTCTCTATACTGTGAGTGGTCAATGTCCCACACTTTCAAATCCTCAGCATTTTCCATCTATTGTGGCTAATATACAACTACGTTTATAGATGGAAAAGTGATGCACTGCTACCCGCTTGGTGACTAGATGGTGTTACAGTGAGTGATGATTATTCACTAATGGGAGTGTTGCCGGAAGGTTGCGTCAGGAGTGTGCTTGCCATTGGTATGAAATTGAAATTCCAAATTGAAATACAACAGGATATAAAATCAGTACAGGAGCCACGGCTTCGCTGCAGCAAGAGCTTTGTCCCATCCCTCGTCATTCTGCCAGATGGCGACACTCTCAACCTCCTCTCTGCCCAGTTTGAGTCCATTGTAGAGATGCTAGGTTTTATTTAGCAAATGCAAATTTCAAAATGTTATATTCAACCTACCGGGAAAAGTCCCTCGCCGGGTCGAGGATTAGACACTCTTCCGTCTGGGGACTCCCAGCGGATATCTTGGATCACGCGGTGATACTCAATCCGCAATACATAAACAAGTGGTTCCTCCTTAAAAAAATTTTTCAATGTGTCTGCCACCTGATGTGCCATGGAGAGGTGGATGAAGTTAGAAGCTTGGTCTAGTTCACTTACCGCGAGCCGTTCAGGAATTGGCTCGCGGACTGGTGAAGTGGAAGGCACAATCTTGTAGATGTAGCGCGGTTGAGAAAGCAGCGATGCCATGATAAAAGTGATGGGAAGAAGCAAATTAATTCACCGACTCACTTGGTGATAACGCGAAGAAGAAATAAAGACAAGGTTGTCAGGTGGTTTTATTGGCGGGGTCGGTTTAACCGGCAACTTGCCTTTTGAATATTATTGCGCCATTTTTTGTACTTTCAGTATATATAGGACACCAAAATTGGGTGTCTGAAATCATGTCTTAATTCGGTTTTCAGTAAGACCTCTTAACTCGTATCAAAATGTTTTGCTCAATATTTCATTGTTGTAGATCCATGGATTTCTTGCAACATATTTTATCACAAGATAGCGCCTGTTTATGTCATGGCGATCACGGCGGATATTTATGGGGGTTATGGAGTAAAAGCAAGAGAGAAAAAAAAACTAGAGGCAAGTCCGTATCAAAAGAAATCAAAGCCCTAATATACTAGCAAGCATGGAGTACATATGCGGATCAATTGGCGGTCTACAGTGGTCTACCACGGCCTTGACGACTTGAAAGATGGGTTGGTCGCACGGGACTACGAGCCCACTTAGACCTGCCTAATTGCACAAGCCACTTTTGCCAAGACTGCAGGTATCCTGGTAGGTCAGATATGAGATAGGAAGGAATGTTCGTTATATCGAGCCATTTGTGATAACGAGAGCGACATTTTGAAATTTCGAATAACTGCAAATAAGTAATTAGTAGAAGATCCATGTCCGGGATGTGGCTTGTCAAGTAACACAATCTCTTAGTTCTTTATCTCACGTGATTCGAGATCGACAAGCCACAATCACCTGATTGCGCTATACCCGATCTAGAGATTTGTTGTGCCCCCTGCGCCCACTTTGGGGAATCTTGGTCGCACTTGCACCCCCACCGTCAACAATTCCACATCGGGGATCCAGGAGCCCAGAGCTTGTTGACAGAAGTCGCGCCTCTATCGATTGGATTTTCTTCGCAACTAAGTCGTGGGAGGTTGCCCTTGCTATTCTTGCTATTCAACTTAGAACCTCTCTCTGGGAAAGGCCTTGGAGACCTTGTTTAACCTGTGCATTCCGCTTCGACCACCAGAGCAGGGATGTGGTCAAAGGAGCGCGACATTTTTCAATCTGTTTTCGCATACCGCCCTGATACTAAATAATGTCGACTCAATTTCCATCCCTCAAGCGGGCCCAGACGGACCTTCCCTCGCAGGCCACCAGCCCATTACGACACGGGTCGACAGCGTCCACGAACTCGTCTGCATATTCCGTCGCGTCAAGTTCATTTGCTCCTAGTCGGACTAGCACTGTCTCCTCTAATGCGTCGATATCAAACCATTTTGGTCACTCCCGAGGGAAGAGTGAGGCAAGCAGTATGAGCTCAGCAACGACTGTTACAGACGCAATGGAACGAGGAAATTGGACAAATGCTGGTACAACGTACGACAATATTCGCCGATCTTTACGACCGCTACAACAAGTCCCTAATACACCATCCTCAACCGCGAATACTGGCGGGTATCGACATTCACGAAGCCAAACAATTGATGAATCACGCCCGTGGAAAGACTATCGACCCGCCACCCCCGAATCACGTCATCTCAATCTTCAAGAGAACCAGTCTCCGCGTCATCAAACAAACGCCTACGAACCCCAAAGCCCCCCACCGCCCACCTCTCCTCACCACTGGCCTACTGTTCCCGGAACATCGCGTCCTTCGTCTCCCCAAAAGACAGTATCGCATAGTTCTCATCCTCCGCAGCTGACTGCTGCCCTCTCCGCACCCGAGCTTGAAGGGTTGCAAAAATCGTCTACTGGCCACCTTAGAACACTCTCGAGATTTGCGCAGTCTGGCGAAAACGAATTTGGCGCGGCCGCAGCCTCTGTGGTGGGGTTGCAAGGCCGACGACGCCTTAAGCGAGCGGAATCAGTAGCCGGAAGAAATGGCGCAGTATCTCCCGAAAAGCCGAAGGTGTCCTCATGGGCGGCCGGAAATTGGATGGACCAGCAACGACAATTCATCCAAGCATACGAGTATTTGTGCCATATTGGAGAGGCCAAACAGTGGATTGAAGATGTCATTCAGAAACAGATCCCGCCAATCGTTCAGCTGGAGGAAGGACTGCGGGACGGCGTCACTTTGGCGGAGGTGGTACAAGCAATGTATGCGGGCAAAACCCTTCGCATTTTCCGACACCCAAAGTTACAATACCGCCATTCAGACAACATCGCCTTGTTCTTCCGATTTCTTGATGAGGTTGAGTTACCAGAGTTGTTCCGATTCGAACTCATCGACTTGTATGAAAAGAAAAACCTTCCCAAGGTCATCCACTGTATTCACGCGTTGTCATGGTTACTCTTCAAAAATGGTATGCTGGACTTCCGCATGGGTAACTTGGTTGGCCAGCTTGAGTTCGAACACCACGAACTTGAGAAAACCCAAAAAGGACTGGATAAGGCCGGTGTGAGCATGCCTAGCTTTGCCGGCATGGCTGCGAACTTTGGCGCGGATCCTGAACCCGAACCCGAACCCGAGCCTGTTGAATCGGAGGAGGATCGTATTGATCGAGAAATGCACGAGAACGAGGCCTCAATCTGCGACTTCCAGGCCCAGGTCAGAGGAGCTATGTTGCGTTTGCAGCTTGGCAACACGATGAACGATCTGTGGGATTTCGAACCCCTCCTCATTGATTTACAATCACGTCTGCGTGGAGATTGGGCACGACAAATTAGTGAATATCGGCTAAGTATGCTCCAGTTTGCAGTTGGACTGCAGGCTATTAGCCGAGGATTCATTGTACGTCGCGGTCAACAAGGCGACAAGCAATGGCGGCAATCTCAGGAAACGGATATTCTGCATTTACAGAGCCTCATTCGGGGACATAAGGCTCGCGCCCAGGCTAGTCACTTACAAACCCGCGCACGACGAGAAGAGTCGGGCATCAAACAGATCCAGGCCGCGATAAGAGGTGCATTGCAACGCATGAATGTTGGGGACCAATACGAACAGTCTCGACATGCTGAAAATGACGTGAAACCACTTCAAGCTCTCATCCGCGGTGCGTTGCAACGCAAACAGATGGAAGCTCAGTCCCACGAGCTGAACCAAGTTGGCAGCTCTGTTAAGTCGCTTCAGGCTGCCATTCGTGGTACATTGCAACGAAGACAGATGAATGACCAGTCTCAAGAGGTGAAGCAGGTTGGCAGTTCCCTGAAATCACTCCAAGCTGCCATCCGTGGCACTTTGCAAAGAAGACAGATGAATGCTCACTCTCACGAAGTGAAACAAGTTGAAACACCCGTCAAGTCGCTGCAGGCGGTTATTCGAGGGTCGATTGCCCGTCAAAACCTATCTCAGATGAAGGTTCTACTCAACAAAGAAGCGCGCCAAATTATCTGTATTCAATCTACCATCAGGGCTTTGATTGCCCGGGAACGCCAAACTCTGCTGTTGGAAGCACTAGAAGAGACAGAGAACGAGTGTGCTGCACTGCAAGCTATTGCACGTGCCGCTGCTGTAAGAAAAAACATTTCAGCCACTCGTACCGAGCTTGCAAAACATCTATTGCCAGTGATCGAGCTGCAATCTATTCTCAGGGGACAGGCTTTGAGGGAATCGTTGGATGCCCAGAGAACTGCATTGCTCGAGGAAGAACCTTCCATGTTGGAACTCCAGTCCCGATCCCGTGGGGTCATTCAGAGGAGGTACCTACTTGCGCAGCGATATGAACTGGAGCAGGAGGAACATGCCATTGTTGATTTGCAGGCCCTTGCCCGTGCTGCCGTCTCGCGAATGGAGGTAGGCGATATATTGTCTCGCCTTGAGGATAACGAGGAAGAAGTTGTTCAACTCCAGTCTTTAACTCGGGCAATGCTCGCGCGAGTGGAAGTTGGCGAGATCCTGACTGATCTTGAGGCAGAGGAGGACTTTATCACGGACTTACAAGCACGGATCAGAGGACTCATTATCTGCAACCGCTTCGAGGAAAGGCGTCGACACTATAATGAAAACATGGAAAAGGTCATCAAGGCCCAGAGTGTTATCCGAGCCCGCATTCAAGGACAAGCTTATAAGAGCCTGACAAGCGGAAAGAACCCGCCCGTTGGAACCGTCAAGGGCTTTGTGCATCTTCTCAACGATAGTGATTTCGACTTTGACGAAGAGATCGAGTTCGAGCGCCTGCGAAAGGTGGTTGTTCAACAAGTGCGACAAAACGAGCTTGCTGAACAATACATCAGTCAACTTGATATCAAGATCGCCCTCCTAGTCAAAAACAAGATTACTCTGGATGAAGTTGTCAAGCATCAAAAGCACTTCGGTGGCCACATTGGCAACTTGCTATCCAACACCGAGATTTCTTCCAAGGATCCCTATGATCTTAAGGCCCTCAACAAGACCTCAAGGAGGAAGTTGGACCAGTATCAGGTGTTTTTCTTCCTTCTCCAAACCCAATCGCAGTACCTGGCTCGCCTGTTCCGGCGATTGCGCGAGGTCAACACCTCTGACAAGGAATATGAGCGGATCCGACACTTGATGATGGGTCTCTTTGGATACTCCCAGAAACGACGCGAGGAGTATTATCTTATCAAGCTTCTGGCACGATCCGTCAAGGAGGATATTGAAAGCTTCACATCTCTTCCTGAATATTTGCGCTGCACTTCATTCTGGAACAAGCTTTTCGGCTCTTATGCCAAGTCATCACGGGACAGGAAGTTCATGCGCGACGTCTTGGGGGCTGTCGTAAAGGAGTCTGTTATCGACAACCCAGACCTTGATTTGGAGAGTGATCCAATTCAAATCTACCGTTCCGCAATCAATAACGAGGAGCTCCGAACCGGCCAACGAAGCCGCCGACAACCCGATCTTCCTAGAGAAGAAGCGATCAGGGACCCTGAAACCAGAGAGACATTCATTCAACATTTGCAAGATCTTCGTGACATTGTTGACCAATTGTTCTTGGGCTTTGAGGACTTCCTGTACCGTATGCCATTCGGTATTAGATACCTTGCACAGCAGATGTATCAAAATCTACTTG